CTATCTCGGGATGCCAAAGAGGCTCCACAGAGCAAGTCATTCCACGCCACTGTCATCATGTCACAAAAGGTTGGATTACATAGGAGGAAGCCGTTCGGTTTGAAAAGACCTGCCCCTTTTCGAATAGGAAGCTCAAAGCTGAAGGGAGTTTGATGGACTTGTGATCCAGGCCTGTGTATGCCGCCAGTAGGTGTGTAGCTGAATCCTTTACTGCACCCATCGGCGATTCTGAGATCAGATAAGCGTGAATCCAAGGAAAGGCAGCGTGTTGCCTGGAATTTTCCTTGGCCAGCTCTCACAGGGTACGGCCTGGGTCGTGGAGGCTATCGGCAGTCGTCAGTCTATGACGTACAGGGAATGCCTCCAGTGACAGTTGGATAGCTGCAGTAGGGGAGATTCTATAATATGTTGTGTTCCAGTTCCCTGCTAAGATGTAGGGTCTCATATCTTCTGTAGAACACCTGACAAGGATTTGAAATTTGGATGAAGTTTGTTCGCAGGTGTTGATTTCACACATCTGATGGTCTATATTGCCTTTTCATCACTCAGTATGGATGTTTGGTGGGTCAATACTTTCCACTGGACTTCCCTGTTTTAAACCTCGCAAGTTTGGCTTATTGTGCCATTATGGCAGACGGGAATGCTTCCGGAAGTAACCAATGCCGTCCAGGAGCGTGCGTGAGTCATTTTCGTAAACCTCTTGACTTGCTGGTGGAAAAGGAGCCAGAGTCGTATGGTTCTGTGTTTTTTTTTTTTTTTAAGAAGAAAAAAAAGAGAGGCAGACAGAAATGGGCACCTTGCAGTTCGGGAATGGGCACTTTGTGGCTTGAGAATGGGCACATTGCCCAAGTGTAGTACACTTAAGTTGTGCTAAATCGTTGGTGCCTGTTTGTATGGAGGGTCTGCAACACTATCAAGGCAGGTGGGGGATGCCTGTGCCTCTTGTGTTTTCCAGTGGGCACTCTAGACATTCGGCTTACTGCGAACTCGACAGGACAGTACGAAGAAGTGTCCTTAACTCTCAAGTATGCAACGTGCTTGGTTTCGCAGTCCAAGTCCGTTAGAGTAAATCAGCAGGCTCACGAGACGAAGTGTCTCTATCGATCCTCAAAGGCCATACGCCAGACGCACGGAAACTGCATCCTGGCTGCTGATGCTGACGTGAACCCGCAGTCTGCTGGGTCTTCCATATGACGTGAATAGTCAATAGTCTGCGCGCTTTGCTCCTTGCCGCTACCATGGGTTTCTGTGCTGTTGTGCGCCTTGCTGTGTGATGTCCCACCCGCTGCACGCCTGCTTGCCTTACTATGTGCTGCCTAATGCTATTGCGCTGAGTGCCTTGCTGTGTTGTTGTGTGCCCTCCCTCCCGCCCACCAGCCTGCCCGCCCGCCCACCCGCTTGCCTTGCTGCCTGCCTGCTATCTTGTGCTGTAAGTTGCCTTGTCCATGCCATGCTGCATACTTGGCTGTATTTGCCCATTCGCATAAGGGTTTGAACCATGGTTACGACCGGAAGTAATGTCAGGGGATCCTGCAGACCGTTGAGGGTCAGCCTCCTGATCTGTCACTACTGTGTTTGTTCTGTGTTGTTTCATTGTCTGTGTGGTCTGGCTCACCCGCAAATTGCATTCGAAGCATAGATTATGGTCTTATCGTTCGGAATAGTCATGTCCTACGTTCCATTATGGGATGCGCCTGTTCCATGCCTGCAAGTTTTTGTTCCTAAGCTGAGCCCTACATAGTACATACGTATATGACCTTTACTGGAGAAGGGTTGAGTTTGTGAGTGAAGTGAGACCTGTGACATTGTATTCCAGTCTATATACAATACGAATACAATACAGACTCCAATTGGCATCTATCTATAGATAGTAAGCCATCGTAGTGCGATATATTATTTCGGAGCTCTGCTAGTATGAGGTCTTGTACCACGATGGATCATTCATGTGCACGCACACTTTCACACACACAAAAACACACACATGCAATGAATTGCAGGTTTCAGGTGGGTTGTACACTAACTAGGTGTGACCGTGTTTGCTGTTTCCTTGTTCTCAGCCTTGCGGGACTTGATCTCGTGACCTGTAGTTTGTGTGTGTCGTTTGCTAGCTTTGAGTCCTATTGGGCTTGATCCTTGGATCTGTCGCTAGTAGTCTCTATTAAGCAGTCTTAGGCCTTCAGCCTTTGTTGTTTTGTCCTTTTCTACTCTTCTAGAAACCAGTAGGCCCGTAGGCCTTTTCTTGTGCTAGATTCCCCTGTTGCCAGTTTCTGGTCTAGATGCTTGTACGTAGATCTTGACTGTTGGGCCCTAGATCTGCACTGTTTGGGCGGCCAGATAGGGGTTGCTGTTTGGATGGTCGGATAGGGGTTGCTTGTTTTCAGCCTTGCGGGACTTGATCTCATGACCTGTAGTTTGTGTGTGTCGTTTGCTAGCTTTGAGTCTTATTGGGCTTGATCCTTGGATCTGTCGCTAGTGGTCTCTCTTAAGCAGTCTTAGGCCTTCAGCCTTTGTTGTTTTGTCCTTTTCTGCTCTTCTAGAAACTAGTAGGCCCGTAGGCCTTTTCTTGTGCTAGATTCCCCTGTTGCCAGTTTCTGGTCTAGGTGCATGTACGTAGATCTTGACTGTTGGGCCCTAGATCTGCACTGTTTGGACGGTCAGATAGGGGTTGCTGTTTGGTGTGTCTTAGGTCTAGGAAAGTCGGGCTGAAGTAGGCTGTGCCCGACTAGTTTCGGGCTTTTCTCATTTTGGCTGGGGGGACGACGAGGGAAACGGGCAGCACTATTTCCAGCGCAGGCTCTTCGTCTTCATGAGATTGGTGGGTAGCCGTAGCTGGGTTGCCCAGCTCCTGAAGCCAGCGCAGGGTGATTGTCTCACCTTGGCGCTGGTTTCCTTATCGTGGTGGTGCTGTTTGGGGGTAGGAGGCGCTGCCATCTTCAGCAATGTCAAAAGCAGACATTTCCACCTTCTTCATCGTACTGGTAGATTTTTCTTCTTCTTCATTGAATACTGGTCTTCTTCTCTATGGGAGCTATGGGTGCTGCTTGATGGAAGGCGCTGTGGATTGTGTCATCTGATAGGTACCAGATCAGCGCCTGTGACCTGCAAACTTCTGGCGTCTGGACCATATGATAGTGGAGTTCCATACCCGGGTTTTGGAGGAGGAAGGAGGGAGTTGAAGACTCCATAAAAATTCGTTGAGTGCTGTTGGGGGATTGAACGGCGGTGTAGGTTGAAGCCATGGTTGAGATTCTCGGATGCATGAGCCTTGATTGATTGGCGGAGGAAGGGGGAATTAAAATTGGAAATTCGCAATTCAATTTTATGTGTACATTTTGCTTCCGTTGCATATCCCTCTCCGGCCTTGTGTGGATTTGCCTCCTCCAAGTCTACTTTGCAATTGCATGCATGTACGGAAGTGTGTGATTTTGTTGTGGATCAAAATTCAATCAGGCACATAATACACAAACACACACAAACACACACAAACACACACAAACACACACACACACACACACACACACACACACACACACACACACACACAATCAGTTTTATGTAAGTTTGTCTTCCCCCTGTCGTTTGTCTTTTCTCTGATTTTTTCTAAGTACTTTGTTGTGAGCCCAACCGAGCACCCTTAAGTAGTGCCAAACAGTCGGTGGTTCCTCGTTTGGAGTGCCTACTGGACTCTTAGGGGGGCCGCTTGGTTCGGGACGTCTGTGTTGCCTGTGGGTGATGACAGATGCTCGCCGGAGTGTCTCCCTGGCTCAGTTGGTGGTGGGAACCAACAGTCTGCGGGGTTCAATCGTGATATGAGTAGGTCATGTGCCGCTTTGCTCCATGTTGGATGTGGGGACGGCCTCATCTGCGCTCCACCGCTGCCCTGCTGCCTGTCCCACTTCCTTCGCATGTGGTTCTTTGCAGGTTGATATGTTCGCTATGTGGTGTGGCCGTGTTGTTTGGTGTTGCCTTGCTCTTCGCTGCTCCGCTGCCTTGCTGCCCTTCCGCTGGCCGTGCCTTCCGTGTTTGCTGCTAGCGGGCATTGTTGGATGGTTGCCTTGTTGCTGTGTGCCTTGTGCTTCGCTCCACGGTTGCCGAGCTTCTGGCCCGCTCACCCTGTCGTCCCTTGCAGTGTGGTTACCTTGCTTGTGTTGCCTTGTGCCTCAATACACGGTTGCCGCGCTGCATATCCTGCGTGCCATGTCATTCCTTGCAGTCGGTTTTGGCATTGTGCAGCCGTGTTGCCTCTACTGTGCTGCCTGGTGCTCCACAGGGTTGCTGCCCGGTGCTATGTTCTGCTTGGGGACAGTCTTCCTTCAACTAGGGTCAAAGGGTTCATGACCCAAACCATCAAATACGGGGATTCCGCAGATTGTCGAGCGTTCAGCCTCCTGATGAGTCGGTGCAACTCCGACGAAACAATCTATCATCAGTTTTATTTTTTTCAGTTTTGCTTGTTTCGGGACTTATTTTGGTTTGCCTGGTTTGTCTGCTTGTGTGTTGTCTGCCTACCTGCCTTCCCCGTGCCCTTCAGCCTTTGCCTTTTGCCATGCATTGTTGCCACATGTCTTTGTGTGCCCACCCGCCTCCCCCTTGCCCTCCAACCTTTCGCTGCTGCACGTTGTTCTGTGCCTTGTCGATTGTGTTGTGACATTTTTTTTTGGTTCACTGCCCTGCGCTGCTGCTAGTTATTTGTTGCTTTCCTTTTGTGGTCTTGTGGCCTAATGCCTTCGGGCCATCGTCCTGTGGCCTTGGTAGGATTGGTGAAAGATAGAGGTCGATGTATGCACATCTGTTGCTTTCGTGTTTGGGATGTATGAGCCTTCTCCATACGATGCGGATCACTCAGCCTTCTGATGGTATGCCTTTTGATCGCACTTTCAAACACAGCTCGCCGTGATTAGCGTCACAGTGGCGTCCTGTTCTCATACAAAACACAAACACACACATGTTGCCCAGATTGACATTGGGGGACGGGATTCGATAGTGAGGGGAAGAATAACCTGTTCGCAGCGAGCATGCCAGCACTGAAACAACCATATTCTTGACCCATGGTTAGAACTGGAATACCTTGAGATAGGAAAAGTGCTGTGAAACAGTTCAGCATCTGCACACATTCAAGCATCGGCACAGAAAGATCATTGCAGAGTCATCCCTCTTATCCAATGGGCTTTTGAACTTTCCACACACAGTCTTGACACACCGCTGTTTCCTTTTGAGACAGTCCAAACGAATCATGTTTACAAGTTCGTACCTTGTCGTCAGATGGCTGGCACACGTCTGCAAATAATCATCAAAGACTCAGGTGTTGAAAAACTCCAAGGTCATTCAACCATAATACCATCATGGGCCATAATGGGGAGGGGCGTGCGTGAGTTTCTTTATCTAGCCTTTCGACTTGCCGGTGGAATAGGAACCGGACTGTCGTTCCTCAGAACAGAAAGGAGCCAGAACCATAAGGTTCTGCTTGCGCAAAAAAAAAAAAAAAAAAAAAAAACATCATGGGCTAGGCTGTTTTTCCGGGGGCCCGGGCACCCAACTTGTGCCCGGGTACACGCCCAGGTGCCCGGCCGCGCATGACCCCCGGGCAGGGTTCCGGGCAGCCCCAATGCCAACAACAAAAATAAAAAAATAAAAAAATTCCGGATAATACAAACGACTTTTGGCTGAGAGACACATTAAAATGCCTCACAGAATCGGAGATAAATCAAACTAAGGCACCCCCCCCTTTTAAGTTTAAATTTTAAACCCTTTTAGGCTTTAGCCCCTTTCAAACCAATTAATATCCTCCTCCCCCCCCCGCTAGACAGCCAACTCCCAGAAAAAGAAATGAGCCCGGATTTGGGGTCCTCTGGGAGAGTGCAGGAAAAAAAAAAAAAAAAAAAAAGACTTTYTTTTTTTTTTTTTTTKCACGCCCGGGTGCCCGGCCGGGCGTGCGAATCTTCCTTGATCATGGGTTGTTAACTTGTTACTCAGACTTACTCTCCTATTTTCCATTTATTGAATGTCATTCAGAAGAATCAGAACCCAAACATTGACGTGCAAAAGGACAGGCTGTGTTCACGAGTTTGACATTCATGAAATGCATGTACTTGTGTAAAGTCCTGGACTTTACATAACCACCAGTACAACTTCTGTGCCTTCCTAATGACAAAGCTCCATCGAGAAAGAAGAGCAAAAGACAAGAAATGAAGAAGCCAATCATTTCTGGCCGCAGTTCAGTCCACGATACTATTTGAGGACTCTTGGAAAGTGCGGAGAGAGGACGAGCTGCATGTAATTGCATGGTAACTTGGCAAGTCCTGGGCTTTCCAGAGCCACCAGTGCAATTCATGCACTCTTCCTAACAATATAAAGCTCCATCCATCCAAGTAATATAAATGAATGATTTCCCGGTATAGCCGCTGATGCACACTGTAATCTTACAATTAGAGGGGGATACCTTTGGCAGTGTTCTGTTACAGCCCAGCCGGATCTATGCAATCCTGTGTGCTCGCCATGGTTTTGCACCTCAGCGTCAGTAGAGACGCGGAAAGCTGCCAGGACGGAAGAGCAAAAGACAAGAAAGGAAAAAAGCCAATCACTTGGGCTGCCTGCAGTTTAGTCCGCTACGCTATTTGAGGTGTTGTAAAGTGCAGAGACAGGAAGCACCGAGTCTAATCCTGTTTGCCCCCCATGGTTTTGCACCTCAGCATCGGTAGAGACCCAGAAAGCTGCCAGGACGGAAGAGCAAAAGACAAGAAAGGAAAAAAGCCGATCACTTGGGAGTGCAGTTCAGTCCGCTAGGCTATTTGAGGTGTCGTAAATTGCAGAGACATGAAGAGCCGAGTCTAACCTTGTTTGTCCCCCATGGTTTTGCACCTCAGCATCAGTAGAGACCCAGAAAGCTGCCAGGACGGAAGAGCAAAAGACAAGAAAGGTAAAAAGCTAATCACTTGGAGTGCAGTTCAGTCCGCTAGGCTATTTGAGGTGTCGTAAATTGCAGAGACAGGAAGAGCTGGTTCTGATTTTCAATCAGCATGTTGCAGGCTCGATGCCTGGAGGAGTGATTGATTTATAAATTATAATTGATTTGCGAAATTTCGGACCATCGAATTTCGCGCCTGGAGACAATGATTAAGCCATGAGCTTCGCTTTTTCCCGCCCTTCGCTGCTCATCTTCGAGGTTCCTGCTGCTATTCTTCTGTGGGTTTGGAATGTCAACCCCCGGTTTGAGAGTGAGTTGCCGCTCTGTGGATGCGTGTTACCTTTGACCGCAACTGATCAGGCCAATGTGGTGAAGGGGCATACTGCATGCACCCACAGGGGTGGTGCTCATGGCTTTTAAGTTCAGAATGATTCTCCTTGCTGTACTTGTAGTCTTGTGCTCAGAGGGAAAAACTTTGGAACCTGACCAAAATTTTTCCCTTGAACTCTCTGAACGGAAAGGAGAACGGTCAGTTGGTCTCGACGGAAATTGGAGAATAGACTGAATAGTAGAAAACCTATAGGTCCTATAGCCTATATAGGTCAGCACTAGGCTTACAGAGATCACGAGTTCCAATCCTGATGGAGGTAGTCCACCAATAAGGTTAAGCAGGGGCTCACTCCTGGCTTGCCGCAACAGCATGATACTTGCTGGGGTCTTCGGATCGAGCTGGGTCAAGCTCGCCCAATGCACAGCACCTTTGTCTTTCGATAGCTTCTCTACCTGGGACAATGTCTTCTTACCAGTTTATTTGGTGGATATCATCCCATAGGATCTGCCTGATATTTGTCTTGAGACTCTTGCATTCGCTTCGAGGTGCCATTGTCGCAATCTTTGGGCAGAGACTGACCTAATAGCTCAGGCAGGCGATAGCGTACTAACTTCAACAAAGAGTAGCAGCTTTGTAGCAAACCTTACAAATTTGCAATGCTTCTGAATTTATGGATTTAATTTTACCTCCACGAAGACACCTATGAACCATAAGATGTCCCAAGCCCTGATACAATCCGAAACCGTTAACCTGGAATGACTTGATCTTTCCATTACAAGACATGGAATCACTTCTTGTTTCCACTCAAGTTCCCGGTTGCAGCTTTACTGGCCCAACTGATGTAGTGTCAGCATTAATCGCTTTGACAAGGTGCTCAGTGTAACATCCCACACAATTGATGCAAGCTTCCTTTTTTTCCTTCTTTTTTTTCTTTTTTTTTTTACAAATGATGCAAGCTATATCCCCGCGCTTGCGTTTCGGTGGCCTGAACTTGACCTGTCTCTTTGCCTTGCAGGAAGGCAAATGTTTTTTCAGAGTGCAAGCTCGAACACAGAGCCTTTGAAAGGGTTAACTTCAGGTGACCTGACGGTTGCAGGGTTAATTAGTCCTAAGTGTGAAGTAACCCATAACCGGTAGTACTAAGTAACCAATCAACTGCCGATAACCTAAGGGTTGCTGACATACTTGCTCATTTGGTGGGCATACAAGTAGCCCGCTTTGCCTGTCTACAGGGCAATCCTTGTTCTGAGAGTGGACGGACATTCATTGCAATGTCAGAAGAAGAGAAGTCCTTGCTTCTTCCATTTATGTTTTGGGAAACGATCTGCAGAGGATTCTTTTAGAGAGTCATGAAAACGTGAGGGTGGATCAATAAGCACTTCGCAAGTAGTGAGTCAATGACCGTGCTATCTCAAGATTGCCGGCATCTAACACGTGCCATCATTCTCAACGGGTTAATTGCATGTCCGCCTCTGTACTTTGGCTTGTTTGTGCCATGCCTCAATGAGAGTGAGCCCAAACGACAACACATCGTGGGACAATCATACACCTGTTCATCTGCACGTTCACGTGTACAACTCACAGGGGCATTTGGCAAAATAACAGAGGCACATAGTGGGTGAGTAAGCACCCCATTCGCAGTCAATCAATGACCTTTTTCTAACTCAATATAACTCGATAACCCTGACATCCCACACACCCCCATTCGTAAAAAGGTTGATTGCGCATATGCCTCTAGACTTCGGCTCAAAACAACCCTTCAATCAGAATGTAACCTGAACGACAGCACATCTCAGGACGGTTGGACAGCTGCTCATCTGCGTGTAAGCGCGCACCCTCAGAGACATTCGGCAAAATAATACGGAATTCCATACACACCAAGTGGCCAGGGAATGAGTACAGGGGCCACTGGGAGAGGGAGAGGGGGCATAAAAGGCAAAAAGTGAGAGTGGAGAGGAAGGGGGCAGTGCGGTTAGGGTTTGGGATACGAGACAACGAAACCCAACCACCCGAGGAGGAGGGAGCGGTATGAGAGAATGGAAGCGAACCAAGAGAGAAGGGGGTGGTATGAGAGAATGGAAGCCAACCAATTGAGGAGGAGAGGCTGGGATAAGAAAATGACAGCCAAGCAACTGCAGGACGGACTAGAAACCATCAGCAGTATGACTTGCTGCTGTCCAGTGAAAAATCATAAATGACCATTTCCCACGGTTAGGAAGCAAAGTTCACGGATCGGGGACATTATCTTCACCTGCTGCCTCTGAAGGTCTGCTGAAGGAAAGTCTAGCTCGGTGGCTTCATCCGCCCTGCCATGTGGACCAAGTTCCGACCAACCAAAGTGGCAATACGTGCAAAGTCGAGAACAGATGAGTCTCCCTTCAAGGGCCTTCATAGATCTTTTTCGCTTGCAGCATCAACAACAATCACACATTTCACAACCCAAACAACGACCACCCACCCTACCTTTGGCCTGGCAATTCACCACCCATGTTAGTCTGTGTGGAATCCTACCACACAATGCCGACCGCCACATTGACTTGGAAGCTAGTTCCTGCGTCTCTCACGAACAAGGACAGACATTTCCACCAGCTGGCCTATCTCAGTTGGTACACTGCTGAACTGTTGAAATACAGACCAGGTGCTGTGTTCGGACCCCACTGGAAGCAGATGAGTAAAATACTGCAATTACCTAGGGGCCGGTCAGGTCAACTGACGTCTCAAGGTCATAGCCCTTCAAAAAAAAAAAAAAAACAAGGAAGGACAGACATATCCGACACAAGAGCTGCACACTACAATGCGAGAACAAAACCTTTACAATGGCTTCAAAGCTGCAAATGCTAAACATCAATGAGAGGTTGGATGTCAATCGTTAAGTACTGGTTAGCGTAGTTGAACTTCCCTGGCAATCAGTAGTAGAACTTCCCTGATGATCAGTAGTAGTGAGTGACATAAGCATCACCATGGAGGCAGTACGAGGAGTGACGAGTGTGCATTTATTGATTGGTTGGTTTCCATCCTTACTCATGCAGAATGATGCAAGAGATTATTAATACTGATTTGGGTTGGTCATCCGTACGCCCACACAAAGCTGGCTTGCCTGCCAACCCTAAGCCATCAACTGCCATCCTTACTACTGTGTCCCAGAAACGGTAGGTCAGTGGGCCTTGTATTTCTCAAGAGAAAGCATCCACAAAATTTTGCAACCCACCATGTATGGAAACTAAAGTCAACACGTCAGAGACAAATAGGCAGAGCTCTGGGGCTTGATTAGACGGTACAGCATTCAGTGTTCTCTGACAAAATAGATGGATCTATCATGAAAGCTGTTGCCTGCTTCATATTCCAGCCTCTGCAAGGGGTGAACTTGCGTAGCCATTGTTCATAATTAATAACTGTTTGAATCATTGATAGGCTTGTTTTAATCCGCAAGTACCACACTGGTAGCAAAAGGATGTCCCTCCATAACTGCAGTTCTGATTATTTGGGCCAACAGCAATACCTATCATGACGGAAAAAGAAGACTTCTGCACTCTCTCTCTCTCTCTCTCTCTCTCTCTCTCACACACACACACACACACACACACACACACACACACACACACACACACACACAAGCATGCGGATGCAGAGAACATCATGCATGATGTCACATTCATAAGAAGGTGGAATGCTCGGAGGAGCTAAGGAGAGCAAACACAAGAGAGAGA